AGGAGGGAGGGAGAGGGGAGACAGGGAGGAGGGAGAGACAGAGAAAGAAAGGAAGGAAGGAAGGAAGGAAGGAAGGGAGGGAGGGAGGGAGGGAGGGAAGGAGGGAGGGAGGAAGAAAGAAAGAGAAAATTTTTATTCCAAAGGTATACCCTAGCTTTATTGAAGGGTCAATACAAGAACACAAAAGGTCCCATCAGCTTAATAACAATTTTTTTTTAAAACCCAAAATAGAAAACTGAGGGGTGGGGACGAGGCCCCTGGGGCAGGGGCCCAGGGAGCCCCATTCCAGCACCAGAACTGGCCGCAGGGTCCCCGGTAGGTATTGTTGCTATAAGGTGGGGGTGGGGGGGCGGCAATTGCCCTGTGGGAGCCACTGTTCTTCACGTGCCTCGGGACCCTCACTACTTTTGGGGTGTGCTCAGCTTCTGCATGCTGCGGATCTTGCCAGTAGGCCCAAGATGAAGGCCCCCTTGGGTTTGCAGCAACCAGCAGCTCCTCCACCCTGGCAGCCGGGTGTGGTCGCTCTCCATGTCCCGGAGCTCATCCATGACCGCCAGCTCAGGGATCTCCTCTTCCGGGCAGTCTCAAAGGCGAGTGAGCTGCCCCAGGATCCACTCCTCCGCGCTGAGGCGCTTCTGGAGCTCCTTAGGGTCGTACTTGGCGGTGACCTTTCCTTGGAGCCTCCCGGGGCCTTGCCCTGGCCCCCAAGGGGCTCTGTAAGTAGAACGGGGCCCTGGGCTGCCGCTGCTCTACCCAGGGGCTGGCCGGGGCTGCTGTCCACCATGGTGGTGATTGGGGCCATGTGCGCAGGCCGGGCCCCTCCCTATGCCACCACCTCCTGGAAGCACACGGGGTAACTCCAGGCCACTGGTGCGGGGAGGGGGCAGCTGCAGCATGACTGGCCTCAAAAGAAATTTTTTTGAGAATTTCAAAACAGATTTCTGCAAAGAAGAGAAAGCTTTAGACTAGATTCAAAGTTGACTTACAACCCAGTTTATCTGTTAGCTGACCACCATAATAAACCCTACTTCAGTGGTGGACAAGTGGTACTCTCGGTCTCTAACAGTCCATCTCGATTCAGAGGCCTCCCATATACCTTACTAGGTAGGACACAAAGATTAGTTACTCCTCACTAAGGTATTGAAGATTTCTCTGCACACCCCTCATAAAACTGTTCTGCACCTCAATTGCTAACATATGGCTTGTCAGAGTTACAAACCTGTTTGGACTATCCTAAAATTTGCTAAGTCTAATAAAAATCACACTTATATAAGCTGCTAAATATAAAAATGAAAATAGACACAAAACAGTGAATAGTACCCTATAATGATTTTAAGGTTTTGTAACAGCCGGTTGTGTATAAACTAAAATTGAAGTAGTTACAGGATGTGGTTAAGAACTTGCATTTTCTTTCTTTTTTTTTTTTTTTTAAGAACTTGCATTTTCTGACATACTGGTCACTCAATACCATGTCAATTAATTCCATAATGTTGTAAACTGTTGTTGAGGTTATGTTGTGGCTTTTAATTGATCGGGATGATATTCTGCCAGCTCTACTTCTGAAAAATAAGATGCTGGACTCTGCATGGTACATGCTTGCAATGAAGGAATCATGACTGGATATGAACTGTACTACTGCAACAATGAGGAATCCAACATGGGGGGCGGGCTTGGGGAGGGGCTGGGGGAATCCCAGAGCCTATGAAACTGTCATAAAACGAAATTAAAAAAAAAAGTATGGTTCTATACCCACCATTACTGAATAACCTTTTATCAATTAAAACATTAGATGAAGCCACCAAACAGCAATTTTTTTTTTCCAAAACAAACACCACTTTATTTGAAAAGCAGTTACATAAAATGAGGCAATCTAGCGCCTGCTGGCTCCCTCCACAACGCCCGGCCAAAGCCAGGGGCCAGGAGCTGCCTCTGGATCTCCCGTGTGAGCACAGGTGCCCCGAGCACTTGGGCTGGCTCCAGTCTTTCCAGACACATGAGCACAGGGAGCTGGGTCAGAAGTGGAGCAGCCAAGACTCAGACTGGTACCCACATAATGCCAGTAGCGGCTCTGCCTGCTATACCTGAGTGTGGGTCCACAGAAAATCTTCTTAAACGTTTTCTTTACTCAATTTAGATTTTGCGCATAGAATTCATAATGTGCTATTGTCTATGTGGCTGATAAACACATCACAGATACACAGATTTGTAGGAATCTGTGTGAGCTTTTGTTTCATTTTGGTTTTTTCACTGATAAGTGCGACTACATAAAGCCAATTGAGAATACAATTAAAATACTATACACACCTGCTGATTTTTTCATTTAAACTAAGAATTCTTTTTTTAAAAGATTTGTTTATTTTCATTGGAAAGTCAGATAAACAGAGTGGAGGAGAGACAGAGAGGAAGATCTCATATCCAATGGTTCATTCCCCAAATGGCCGCAACGGCCAGAACCAAGTTGATCTGAAGCCAGGAGCTTTTTCCAGGTCTCCCGTATGGGTGCAGGGTCCCAAGGCTTTGGGCTGTCCTCTGTTGCTTTCCCAGGCCATAAGCAGGGAGCTGGATGAGAAGCAGGACCGCCAGGATATGAACCAGCACGCATATGGGATCCCAAAGCATGCAAGGCAAGGATTTTAGCCACTAGGCTACTGCACCAGGCTCTAAACTAAGAATTCTTAAGAGAAGTTACAGAAAAGTTAAAATGGCATACTTTTAAAAATTTTAATTCAAACTATTCATTCTACCCATACATGAAAAAATACTAATTAAATTTGTCAAATCACATCCACTTTGCCTTATCTAGATGTAGTCATACAATATAATTCCTTAGCTATTTATATAAATAGGAGAAATTGGCTTATCCTTGCAACTCTACTTTCAAATTTGTTTTGAAATGATTTCTTATGGTTTATAAAAATATAGAACACAGAATCCTACCCAAACTCAACCGCATTTACTTTGAAACATTCAAAAGTCATCAGAAACACCATGACTCAGACTGGCAAACTTTATGTGTTCAAAAGTTCACATACTGGACCTGGCACGATGACTCAACTGCTTAATCCTCCCCATGTAAGCACTGGGATCCCACAGAGGCAGTCGAGGATGGCCCAAGTCCTTAGGACCTGTACCCACACGTGAAACCTCAAAGAAGCTCTTGGCTCCTGGTTTCAGACCAGCTCAGCTCCAGCCATTTCAGGGAGTGAGGCAGCAGATGGAAGATCCTCCTTTCTGTCTCTCCTCCTCTCTGTATATCTGACTTTACAATGAAAATGAATAAATCTTTAAAAAAGTTTACATATCTCATTTTTATCCCCAGCAACTCTAGCAAAATACTCCCCGTACAACACACAATGGCAAGCACAAGACTGAGGGTGAGCAGGGGCGCACCCACCCACGCTTCCTCCCCCAGACACGCACGCCACGCCAGCGAAGAGCAGGCCAGGAGGCACGACCACATTCTGTTCTCCGACAACTTCATACTTCGCTCCTACGGTGCAAACCCATTTTTGTTTTGATGATTACAAGTGCAGGCGGCAGGCCAGGGCAGGCTGACCTACTTCCTACCTGAACGGAGTCCTAGACTAACTTGGACACTTTTCAATAACAGTCATAAACAGTGTTAAAGAGAACAGGACCGTGGGCTTCTCACCACTGGCGTTAAAATTCACATCTTACTGAATATTGTCAAATGGACAAAGGAAGCTAAAAAAAGTAAAACAGCTTTTCTCTCTAGTATCTTACAAACAATCAGGACAAGTAAAATGATTTTTAACTAAGAATCATATTTCACAAGATTATCAGTATAATAAACATGACTGTAGACACAGTGAAACACACAAAAATACTGCTTGCTACACACTCGACACTCTACTGCGGTCAAAGAATCTAGGATATCAAAGTGAGAAATTTCTCTGATAGGGAAACAAGTAGGTGGGTTAGAGTTCAGCAACATGCTCAGCAGAAAATATTTCCATGTAGGAAAGAAAGAATTCCACACAGGATGTTGGAAATGTCGATCTTCTCCCAGGGAGATACCACCAGAAATGACACAATACATATGGACAATATGCAAATCACACTGGGAAGCAGGATCCAATCAGATGCTAAGAAGAAAATGAGGCCGTTAACTTCGAACTCCACAACCACTCGTTATAAGAGGAAACTTCTTGGGTCTGATAGCATGGCCTAGCGGCTAAAGTCCTCACCTTAAATGCGCCAGGATCCCATATGGGCACTGGTTTTAATCCCAGCAGCTCCACTTCCCATGCAGCTCCCTGCTTGTAACCTGGGAAAGCAGCTGGGGACGGTCCAAAGCCTTGGGACCCTGCACCCACGTGGGAGACCTGGAGGAAGTTCCTGGCTCCTGGCTTCAGATTGACACAGCACTGGCCCTTGTGGCCGCTTGGGGAGTGAACCATCAGAGGGAAAATCTTCCTGTCTCTCCTCCTCTCTGTATATCTGACTTAGTAATAAAAATAAATAAATCTTTAAAAAAAAAAAAAAAGAGGAAACTTCTTGTCCATTAGGAACAGAAAAAGCCTTTACCGCTACTTGAATATTCAAACTGTTTGAACATTAACAATGAGGGCTGGAGTTGGGGGAGACATGAAGCCATATAGTATATATGTAACCTATTTAAAAGGCAGAGTTCTAGAAAGACAGGGGCAAACAGAGAGAGCCCTTCCATCTGCTGCTTTCTTGTCCAAGTAGCAGGAAGCGTGCCAGGTCGAAGAAGTCAGGAGCCTGGCACTCAGTCGAGCTCTTTTCGCAAGCATATCAGTAGGAAACTGAATTGGAAACAGCAGCAGGGACCTGAAAGGCAGTCCTATGGAATGCTGGAAATGTAGGCAGTGGCTTAACATGCTGCGCCACAACACTGGCCCCAATAATGTCACACTGAAAAACAATCAAGGTCAGTGAACCCCAACACAACTAACCCCGTCCACTCTTTCTATCTTCTAATAACTGAGAAAAAATCCTAGGTCTCAATACTCGTATACAAAACAAGTTCAATCTTTTATTGTGAATACCTTTACAGTCAGAAATCAACTCATGCACATGCCTAAGGAGTCCACAGCCTCAGCTTCCCCCCGCAGCCGGCTTCTCGGGGAGCACCCCGGAGGCAGGTCTGTTCCGGACTCTTCTTCTTGGCCTTTTCTTCTTGGAAGCGGATGCCGCTGGCTCCTGGGTTTTCTTCTTCTTCTTGAGACAGCTGAGCGGGTTGGGACCGCCTGTTTTCCTGCGCTTCTTCCTTCTTCTCCGCTCAGGGCTTTTCACTAAGCCCTGCTGCTCTTTCTGCTGCTCGATGCTCTGCTTCTCGTGCGCGGAGACGAGCTGCCCGGCCTCCACTGCCTTCACAAAGCCGATCGTCCGGGCGGAGGGCTTGTCCAGGACTATCGTGTTCTGGATAATGAACAGCAGGGGAATGCCGGGCTGCTTCTTCACTTTCACAGACAAATTCTGGTCCTAGCACAAAAAATGAAACGTGTCACTTACGTTTCAACGACTTAAACGGACTTCTGCGAACTTAGAGAAAAGACGGTATGGAGAGCCTCTCCTTTTTTAACGGAGATCTCGGGTTTTATTTTTCAAATCAATACGCCTCCCTAGTGTGGGGGTGTTATACGATAGGGTATAAATTCCGAGCTCAACCAGTGTTAGGTAGCAGCGGATATAACAAGATTTACCACAAATTACAAACGAATGTAAACGTGAATATGAGAGGCAGTTCCCCGATTTCTGCTCGAGGACATTGTTTGGACAGAGTCAAGCACGCTCAAAGAGACGGAAAGAAGAGAAATTCTGTAATTGCAGCTGCCTCAGTGTCTCCGTCCAGCCCTGTGTGGATCTGACTCTGGAAATCTAAGCGATGTGTCCATATTGCTCAAGCTCTCCGAGTCCTCTTCTCTCACTTACAGCATTTAACAGCCAGCACAGTCCACATTGATGATACAGTCCTAACCAATTAGAACTACAAATTTGGGCCTGGTACAATAGCCTAGTGGCTAAAGTTCTTGCCTTGCATGTGCACTCGCCAGGATCCCATAGGAGAGCAAGTTCGTATTCCAGTTGCTCCGCTTCCCATCTTGTGGCCTGCGAAAGCAGGGGAAGATGGCCCAAGGCCTTGGGACCCTGCACCCATGTGGGAGACCTGCAGGAAGCTCCTGGCTTCAGATCAGCTCAGCTCTGGCCATTGCAGCTACTTGGGGAGTGAATCAGCAGACAGAAGATCTTCCTCTCTGTCTCTCCTTCTCACTGTAAAATCTGACTTTCCAATAAAAATAAATAAATCTTAACAACAAAAAACCCTATGACTTTTTTAAGAAACAACATAAGCAGATAGAGAATGCAGCTCTGCTCTATCTAGCCCTCAGCAATCCAAGTCACCGCATTTCTGTGTCAATAATTTGTTATTTTGAAAAAAGCAACCTTCATTCCTATCACTGTTCTGAATTACAAAGAGTTCCACATGAAGCGGAAGTAGACACAGATGACTGGTGCTGTGCAAGACGCAATTACCTGTGTGGCCACAAAGTAATGGTGAGCATTGCCGTCTCCGACCATGGCCAGCAGACACTCGGACCCGCTCACCGCGCTCCTGAAGTGCGGACAGTTTCGGACCTGGCATTTTTGTGCAATCAGTTTTGCCCCATACAAGTCCTTTCCTAGTGTTTCTAATTCTTTTAACACGCATCTGGGAGAAAAAATAAAATAGAAGTTTACAATTGTAACAGGTACAAACCAGTTGTTCGGCTAAAGCTAGTAAAGAAACAGTTTTCCTAAATCTATAGCACTGTACAATCTGCATTTGTCATAAGGCGGCCACATCACTTGTAAAAGACAAAACAAAACAAAACTTACACTGTGTAGGAAGTATGACAGACAACGTTCACCAAACATTCCCTGTGTTCCGGGCACGTGGAAATCGTGCTCCATGTAAAGTCTTTCTTAATCTCAAAATGACTGCAGGACATTAAGTAGTTTAGCTTAAAATTATCAGTTTTATTTTTTTAGAAGATTTATTTATTTTTATTGGAAAGTCAGATATATAGAGACGAGGAGAGACAGAGCGGAAGATCTTCTTTTCCTTGATTCATTCCCCAAGTGGGTGCAATAGCCAGAGCTGAACCAATCTGAACCAGGAGCCAGGAGCTTCCTCTGGGTCTCCAATTTGGGTACCGGGTGCTAAGGCTTTGGGCCATCCTCAAGGGCTTTCCCAGGCCACAAGCAGGAAACTGGATGGGAAGCAGGCTGCTGGGATTAGAAGGAGCACCATTATGGGATCCTGGCACGTTCAAGGTTAGGACTTTAGCCGCTAGGCTATCATGCCAGGCTCAATTATCCTAATTTCAGAGACTGTCATTTCAAGCAGCATGCACAAATTGAAACTAACTGGCAGAACTGAGACATGTGATAACGGATCTCGGGCCGCAAAAAGTAGTAACCTAACCTGCTACCTGTCAAAATATTTTCCATTCGGAAAAGAAAAATTCTCATTTCATCAGATTTTTTTTTTAAGGTTTGTTTATTTTTTATTTGAAAGGCACATTTATAGAGAAGAAGACAGAGAGAATGATCTTGCATCCGTGGCTCACTCCCTAAGTGGCTGCTACAGCTGGAGCTGAGCTGATCCGAAGCCAGGAGCTTCATCCGGGTCTCCCACGCGGGTGCAGGGTCCCAAGGCTTTGTGTCGTCCTCTACTGCTTTCCCAGGCCACAAGCAGGAGGCTGGATGGGAAGTGGAGCAGCAGGGATACAAACTGGCGACCATATGGGATCTCAGCTCTGCAAGGTGTGTATTTAGCCAGTAGGCTACGGTGCCAGGCCCGTGTCATCAGGACATTAAAGCAATCACAACTTGGCACCTCTGTGTTCCTGTTGACATCAGTCAATGATGCTCACTCCATGTGTAAAGTAGTATCAGAATGACAGTGTCATCAAACTGCCAATTCCCAGCTCCTCTCTCATCCCAAGATCCGTGCCTCTTGTGCAGGAGTCATAGATAATATCATAATAAACGTAAGCATTAACTTTCCTCCCACTAAAAAAATAAAACAAATTATGAGGCCCGGTGCTGTAGCCCAGAGACTAAAAGTCCTCACCTTGCATGTGCTGGGATCCCATATGGGTGGTGGTTCTAATCCCGGCAGCACCGCTTCCCATGCAGCTCCCTGCTTGTGGACTGGAAAAGCAGTCGAGGATGGCCTAAAAGCCTTGGGACCCTGCACCTGCAAGGGAGACCCAGAAGAGGTCCTGGCTCCTGGCTTTGTATCAGCGCTGGCCGTTCTGGTCACTTGGGAAGTGAATCATTGGACGGAAGATCTTCCTCTGTCTCTCTTCCTCTCTGTATATCTAATTTTCCAAGGAAAATAAAATATTAAAAAAAAAAAAGGAAAGAAAAGAAAGAGTCTTTATCTGCTGGGCGCTCCTCAAATGCCTGCCAGTTTAACAGATCAGGTCAAACCCAGGAGCTAAAGAGTCAATGGAGGGCTCCCACGTGAGTGGCAGACCTTAGTAATTGAGACATCACCTGCTCCCCGCCAAGCACACACCAGCCAGAAACTGGAGTACCAGTCACGCCAGCCGAGGCCTGGCCCAGCCCTGCCTATACTGCGTCAGTTGGGAGAGTGGACCAGCAGATCAAAGATCTCTCTCCCAGTCTGTGTGTCTCCCTCTCTTTTCCTAATTCTACCTTTCAAACAAGTAAAGTAAATCTTGAAAAACAAACAAAAGGGCCTAGCGCAGTAGCCTAGTGGCTAAATCCTCTCCTTGCACATGCCAGGATCCCACATGGGTGCTGGTTCGTGTTCCAGATGCTCCAGTTCCTATTCGGCTCCCTGCTCTGGCCTGGGAAAGCAGAAGAGGACAGCCCAAAGCCTTAGGAGACCCAGAGGAAGCTCCTGGCTCCGGATCGGCTCAGCTCCAGCTGTTACAGCCACTGGGGGAGTTAACCAGTGAATGAAAGCTCTTTCTTTCTCTCCTTCTCTCTGTAAATATGCCTTTAAAATAAAAATAAGTAGGGCCCGGCACGGTGGCGCAGTGGTTAAGGTCCTCGCCTTGCACGCCCGGGATCCCATATGGGCGCCAGTTCTATCCCGGCAGCCCCGCTTCCCATCCAGCTCCCTGCCTGTGACCCGGGAAAGCAGTCGAGGACGGACCAAAGCTTTGGGACCCTGCACACGCATGGGAGACCCGGAAGAGGCTCCTGGCTTCGGATTGGCATAGCATCGACCGTTGCGCTCACTTGGGGAGTGAATCATCGGACGGAAGATCTTCCTCTCTGTCTCTCCTCTCTGTATATCTGCCTTTCCAATTAAAAAAATAATAAAAATAAATCTTTAAAAAAAAATAAAAATAAGTAAATCTTGTGGGCCCAGGAAGTGAACCCCAAAACTTGGTATGTGAGCCCCAAGTTGCATCTTTTTTTTTTTGGAAACTCTTATCTACTGAAAAGGCGGAGTGAAGGGAAGAGAATCTTCCATCCTTGGCCTCGACGGCTGGGCCTAGGTGAGTGGTAGGGACTCAAGTGCATGCACCATCTTTCACTACCTTCCTTAGCAGGAAGTTCCAACACGAGATGTCAGATTCACGGGCAATGGCCCGGGCTAAGCCAGAGGCATCTTTAATCTCCATGGTAACCATCTGCTCCACCTGCGGACGTCCTGCCATCAGCACTTTACATCCGTATATCTAAAACACAAACTATGGAGCAGGGTGTTGTGGTACTGTGGGTGAAACCACTAGTGGATCTCTGCAGCCCACAGCAGAGTGCCTCAGCCTACATCCCCACTCCCTTTCTGAGCCTGGGAGACAGCACACGATGGCTGAATTGGGGGTCCCTCTCCCCAAACGGCAGCCCGGGAGGCCGGTCCACCCCAGACCTGGCGGGCATGCGGGATGGAAGCCAAGCGCTCTACCTACACCGTCCTTATTTTACAAATAGTCTGCCCAAAATCGCGGAGCAGACTGGACCAGGGGACTGGACCAGGATTACAAAACTTGTGTTCCTATCGCCCAGGCTAACGATGGCACGCGGTCCCCGCAGGGCACTGTGCTGCCCACACACCTGCCCCAACTCGCACCCGGCGGCCTCGGCGTGGGCACCTGCCCCAGCCCCCACCCGGCGGCCTCGGGGTGGACACCTGCCCCAACTCCCACCCCCCAGCCCCGACCCGGCGGCCTCGGCGTGGACACCTGCCCCAGCTCCCACCACCCAGCACCCACCCGGCGGCCTCGGCGTGGACACCTGCCCCAACTCCCACCCCCCAGCCCCGACCCGGCGGCCTCGGCGTGGACACACCGGCAGGGCCGCGGCCCGGTCCCCGCTCCCCTCCCCGCCCACCTCGTGGTGCACAGCTGCGTCTCCCCCATGAGGTAGCGGGGCAGCTGCTCCCGCAGCTGGATGCGGCCCCGCAGCGCCGCCTGACAGAAGGTGCCGTCCAGCAGGATCTGGTACGGCTCGCGGACTCCGAAGTTATTGCGGAAGAACCCAAGGTGCTTCTTGGCGTGTTTCTGCCTAGTGATCTTCATGTCTGATTTCCCGCACCAGGAAGTGGAACACGCGCCGCAGCCGCCCACTGGCGTCCACGGCGCCCGCCTTCCCCGACAGGAAGTACCTTTGGCCCCGGAAGCACACGACTCCTGCTCCCGGGGCTGCCCTCTCGTTTACGTCACAGCAGAGCGAGCGCGGGCCTCGACCGCAAGGCCTGCGCCTCGAGGGGCGGGGCCCGCGTCAAGGGGCGGAACTCAAGCGTTGTGGGGGCGTGGCCCATGCCTTAATGGGCGGGGCTCACGCTTCGAGGGGCGGGACTCACGCTTCGAGGGGAGGGACTCAAAGCTGGTGCCTTTGGCGGCTGATTAACTAGACTAAAGAAAATGACAAACTGCATGTTTAGCAAGCTACCTGACTAATGGCAAGCATCGGAAACATTGGCGATATGGTAACGATCCCTGATATTAGTGAGCCTTAACATGGGCCCATGCAGTGCCCTAAGTAATGTACCTCATTTCTTCCCCTTTATAGCTCCCAAGTGAGAGGAGGAACAGCCTGATTTAGAGCAGTTTGGGTAGGGGAAGCCTGCTGCTTTCTTGTAAGGTTGAGGGATTTGGTTAGGCACTTGCCTCCTGGAGCTGCACCACCACAGCAACTAAGGCCCATAGAAGCTCCACGTGGACGGAAGACCCTCCCGAACCACCGAGAGATGCCTTCTGCAGCAGATTCCCTGATTTTGAGGGGAGCCTTGTGACCGCACGCGTCTCTGCAGGAGAAACAGGTTCAACTTCCTCTTCCTGGAACGCTGCAGATTATGTGGATCAGTTCCAAGCACGCTTTTTATTTCCGTGGTCTCACGTGGGAAGTCTACCTGCTGAGCTAGTCACGGAAAAACACGAAGCACAGTGAGGGTCCAGTTGATGAATGGGGGGAGTCAATCAGAAACATTTCAAGTTCTCCAGTGGCTAACTAGCCAATACCCACTTCAATTCAAGGCAAAATGATCAAAGAATGGGAGTATAGAGTTTTGCATTTTTGTCCTGGCCTGGAACCTGTCCCAGATTTTCTGGCTGAAGATTGAAATAACCCACTAGGAAAAAAAAAATTATTAACAACGTGATTGAAACGTATTGTTTGCATGTGGGGTTTTGTTTCAATATATACATTTCTGAAATTGGAACTGAGAGCCACACTGTCAGCCTTTGCTTGGCTTCCAACTCATGGCTTAGATGGCTGCTTTCCTGTAACTGGAAACAAATGAAGAAGCCACCAAAATCCTTGGGGGATGCGGGGCGCAGTTCTTGCCTACAGTTGCTCACCATTTTTCAACGTGAATTCTCCCTTTATCCTTGCATGCCAGTTCCTCAACCTGCGTATACACCAGTACAAAGCATACCACTACCGTCTTGCAAAAGCAGATAAACATTTCAAAAATAGGCTCACAAATTCACCTACTCGCTCCCTGGCTGCTCTTCAACACTAAGAAAATTGTGGTGTAACACCAGGGATTTGGGTCATATCCTAGCTTTATTTTTTTTAATTTAATAAATTGTAATATATTTCACACTCCACATATATGTGACAGTGCCAATTTGCACAGTTCTTATAAAAACATGAAATCAGCCCATAGAGGCGAGGGTCAAGAAGCAATGTTTCTTAAAATGGTATCACATACAGAAACGCTTTGAGATGCTTGTGGAAATTGCCTTGTCCTGATTCAGAACAAGTATTGAGGCAGGGGACTGTACAATAGCCTGCCGTTAGCCAAAGAGAATGTGTTTCAAGACCCCTGATTTGTCCACAAACTTTTTGAAGTGCCCTGATATAGAGCAATGGTCCCATAAAATGATACTGCCTGGTGAGGCGCGAGGCACCTCAGCTTGTGCAAGTATACTCTGTGATGGACACACAGCTAGGCAAGTGGCTAACCATACTTTTCTGAGAGCTTTGGAACACAAACGCTCTACTGCTGAGCCAGTGGTGCGCTGCCAGCCAAGGAGCCCCTCCGTGGCCGGGAGCTGAGGGTGTGTGCAATACTGTTCCTAAGTGACCTTTTTCAGTAAAGCACCACTGTTTATCAAATTCAATATTTTCATTGAATGGTCCACTTAGCACACTTTACCCAGATGCCAGCTGACCTAGCAATGGGCCACGAGTAGGCAGAAGCCAAATATTGCTGGTAATAGGTGAGCCATTTGGAAATGAGATGAAATCTGAAATGTTGTTTAGCAAGCTGTGGTGATGTTGTTATTATTTTAAAAAAATTATAATACTCACTGGTAAGTTTTGGCTTCGTAGTGCATGAAGAACAGTGTCCTAGAACCGGTGGCTGTTAGCTTTCTTTCCAGCCGCTCCACTGGACATTGCCCGTGCCAAACAGACGTTCACACTCAGCTGAGGTAGGTAGACGACCAGTTTATTTTTCTTTATTTCTTATGCTCTTCTTGTTCTTTATTATGTCCAGATCAAATATCATTTATAATGTGATGTTGTACACAGTTTTGAAATATTTTGTCCATGAAATTTGGATGAAGCCAAGTTAACATGAAAATGATTTATTCGCAAAAGGAATGACTAATTTCCAAATAGGATATTTTCATGAAAGATTCATGGCGTAAATGGAATCGAGCAGGTAAATATTCATTCATAAAGGTTATTTTGTTCAATTTCATAAATGTGGCTTCCATTTTGTATAATTTTCTAAGCTAAATCATCTAAGGTATAATGATATTCTGATTTCAGATTTAAATGTTTATAAAAATTTGTTGACATTCATTGGCTCAAAAGAATGAAATATTCTTCATTACATTTTCTAACGTCATCTCTAAACTAATCATTTGATGAAGTCAAAATATGTTTTAGAATGATTCAAAGTGAAGCAGTTTTTTGAAGCTTATTAGTTCCTCACTAAGATCCCCAAGGGTAGACACCATTGTGAACTTCCTAATAGAAGACATAATCTATATCAGAAAATGGTATTAAGCTTAGATTGATGTGGAAACTGACACGTTTTAGATATAATTTTCATTTTTTGCTTTTAAAAATACATGTCGGCATGGTGGCGTGGCCTAGCAGCTAAAGTCCTCGCCTTGAATGCGCCAGGATCCCATATGGTCGCTGGTTCTAATCCTGGCAGCTCCACTTCCCATCCAGCTCCCTGCTTGTGGCCTGGGAAAGCAGTCGAGGACGGCCCAAAGCTTTGGGACCCTGCACCCATGTAGGATACCTGGAAGAAGTTGCTGGCTCCTGGCTTCGGATGGCATAGCATCGGCCGTTGCACTCACTTGGAGAGTGAATCATCGGATGGAAGATCTTCCTCTCTGTCTTTCCTCCTCTCTGTATATCTGATTTAGTGATAAAAATAAATAAATCTTTTTTTTAAAAAAATACATGTATACCTATTATAACAAGTGAAAACACCCAAACCAGTTCACTTCATCTGTTTCTCCAGATGATCTAGCTGTTGGTGACCCACTGCATGTATTGGTATGATGTTTCCATATTCATACGCAGAGGTCATATACATACATGTATCCATAGGTGTGGAGAGCGGAGCCGCGCCTCAAGGATGGTGCTTGTTGACCATTGCTTCATGGCACAAAGGTGGTAAACAGGTTTTGGGGAGTTACTGAGGATTGGGCCGAGCACGTAGGGAAGCTACGTGACCTAAGTCATGATTGGTGTGCTTATCACATGATGTGAGGAACTGTGTATGGATTGGTTTGTGTAATGTAAAAAGGTCTGGGTGAAAAATAGATAATGAGGAGATTCCACCAGGCGCGCTTCAAGGCTAGAGCTAGAGCTATCGCTATCACTTCAAGGCTATTGCTAGCTAGCACTAGGCTGCTTTTGCTTTACTGTAATAAATCTTACAAGTGCTGTAACTGCTTTCACTTTGCCACAACGCTTGAAGTCTTACCCAATAAACTTTTTTTAAGAATCTTTACTGTATCGGGGTCTTACTCGCGGGACGAGGGATCCCGATACATAGGTTCATTCTACTAAGGCAAAAATGGAATCATATATTGTCACTTATATTTTTTTCTTTGTCTTCTAATAATTCTTGTAGAAATCTCCCAAAGTCAGGAAGCTCTTTTTTTAAAAGATTTATTTATTTATTTTTAATTGGAAAGTCAGCTATACAGAGAAGAGGAGAAACAGGGAGGAAGAGCCTCCATCCCCTGACTCACAAAGGCCAGAACTGAACTCATCTGAAGCCAGGAGCCAGCAACTCCCTGGGTTCCCCCACGTGAACACAGGGCCCTGAGGCCCTGAGCCATCCTTGACCACCCACCAGGTCACAAGCAGGGAGCTGGATGGGAAGCAGGGCTACAGGGACCAGAACTGGTGCCCAAGAGGGACCCCAGCGGGTACAAGGTGAGGACCCCAGCCACTAGACTATCACATCGGACCTAAAGAGCTCTTAAAAAAAATTCACTTATTTATTTTCATTGGAAATTCAGATATACGGAGAGAAGGAGATGTATACAGAGAAAGATTTTCTGTCCACTGCTTCATTCCCCCAAGTTGCCACGACAGCTGGAACTGAGTCTATACAAAACCAGGAGCCAGGAGCTTCTTCTGGGTATCCCACAGGGGTGCAGGGTCCCAAGGCTTTGGGTCGTCCTCCACTGCTTTCCCAGGCCAAAAGCAGGGAGCTGGATGGGAAGTGGAGCTGCCAGGATTAGAACCAGCGCCCATATGGGATCCCAGTGCATTCAAGGCAAGGACTTTAGCTGCTACGCTATCGTACCAGGCCCTACCTTTCTCTTAAAGTCAGATTGCTTCCAAAGTAAAATAAACCAAATCCTTCTTATATGCTGGAGAAGCTGTCTCAATATTTGCAGCTTTTGAATGTAGAAACAATCGGATTTGAGTTTGGTGAGTCAGTGAGACGTGTCTCCTGATGAGAAAGGCTCGTTAAATATGAAGAAACCCAGCTGCTTCAGCAAGGAACATCAGGAAACATCAGTATCCTCCAGTTGTCAATGAAAGAAAGGAAACAGGATTTCTGTATGTTGGTCCTGCTAGTGCCAGGAAGCCGAACTCTCAGATCCAAGGACAAAGGAGAACCTCTCTTGATAAGTTTACAACGGACTATGTATCAAGGGT